AAACCCTAAACCCTAATAGAGAACGACCCTCATGGGGTAGCGGATTCATGGACCACACCCCAAAAGCCTTTTCGAATCCTTGAGGCCCCTGTAACAATCCCTGGTGGGAACCCGGAAGCCCTATCAAAAAAGATGGCCCCTATACTTTGGGGTTTAGGCTAGGGCTTTGAGATGTTGGGCTTTAGGTTGGCTACCTTGGGCTTTAGATTTGGCATGTGGCTGCCTTGTGCTTCGAATGGCTGCTTGGGTATTCACGGCTTAAGATTCTAAGATTTAGGGTGCTTGGCCGAGGCACTGGGAATTTGAGACAACCCTAAGCCCTAAACCCTGAAGCCTGAACCCCGAACCCTAAACCCAAAACCCTAAACTAGAAGTCCGGCGCAGAAGTGCTTCCAAGCTTGTCAAAGCAGAGCTTGTCCCTCTAATTCACATTGCATCGCCCAGACGTTCAGTCCCATCCACCCCCAAAGCCCTATAGACCCTTATCAAACCCTTGTTTAGAGCCCAAGTAGCCCTGCACAGCCCTGTATTCAGGCTCTTATACTAAACCCTTCAAGTAAGCCTTACAATAGACGTGATTGAACTTTTTAAAGAACCTTTAACAGATCGACAGTCTGAACCCCTCAAGCCTGAACCCTACCCTAAACTATACGCTACACCCCTCCTACACCGACCAGAAGGCGGTGCGCGGAGGCACACAGCCTCCCTCTTGGAGAAGGTAAGTCGCGAGGAGCGTGGGTCCCGGAAGTAGAGGTTTCTTGGGTGTAGGGTTTAGTTTAATTTCAGTTCAGGCTTCAGGGTTTAGGGTTCAAGGTTAGAGATTAGTTGGGAATATGAGAGGGTATAAATATATGGGAATATGGCTATAATTCTGGGGCGAGTCGGACTTGCCGGAGGTCATAGAATGTAATCAAGGTTTAGTGCTTTTTGGGTTTTGGGCCTGCCTTTAGGGTTGAAAGTTGAGCATTCAGAAGTTTGGGGCGTATGTTTTTTCAATATGGGTTGCTGCAGGGCGTTTGGGGGCTGGGCTTTAGGATGTAGGATTCAGAGTTTCGGATGTCGGGCTTATGCAGCTGTGCCTGTGAGCCGGATTTCTACACGAGCTTTTGTCCGACTATAAAAGTGCTTCATTGGGCAGGGTCCATACAGGGAACGGGTGTTGTTATTATTTTTATTATGATTGCTATTTCTTATTTTTTCGTTTTTTGTTGTGCTGTTGTGCTCTGCAGCTGGAGCCCCGGCAAACCAGCAGGTGAGTGAACGGCCAGGGCCAGTTGGGGCCCAAAACCCTCCCCCCGCACCAACAGCAAAAACAAAAACACCACTCAGCAATATTCGATCGGGTCTTCCAGTTCGAGAGATTAGCGTGGAGAAGTACAGGGTCTCCTTACACAGCCACGACACTTGAATCTCTAAACCCTAAACCCTAACTCCTTGACGAGGTTCAAGGGGAGGCCGGAGAATGCTTCGACTACAGCTCCCGAGGCTCGTTGACTGTTGTGGGATCAGCGCTGTAGGGTTTTGGGTTTAAGGTTGAGGATTTTTGGGTTAAGTTTTGGGATTGTGGAATTGGGGTTTAAGATTTGGGATTTAGGGGCTCGGGTTTAGGCGCCGACATATGTGGCTGTTTCTTCTCCACCACCTGCTGTTGCTGTGCTGGCGGTACTGCGGAAAACGTTTCAGTCTAATTGCGAAACAGCAATGCCTTATTCTTCTTACTTTGCTACAACAACAACTGATACTACTGCTACCCTTGCTGTGACTGTGACTATGGCTGGTACTGCCACTGTTACTGTTACTCCTCCTCATCCTGCTGCAGCTGCTGCTGCTGCTGCTGCTACTGGCAC